GCCCCCTCTCAGGCCTGGTCCCTTGAGTCTGTCCGTCACCCCTGCTGTGTAATCGCAAGCAGCCAGCGCCTCATTCTTCCCAAGCTGTGGGTAGTGCCCTCTGCTCTTGCCCAGCAGCACAGCGGACTCCTCGACCTGGGGGCTCATATTCCAGAATCATATTTTTTTGCCTTTTCATACTGTCCCTGGCTTCTCCAGGCAAGAATGCGGAGTGGACTGCCATTTCCTTCTCCAGTGGACCGTGTGTGGTCAGATCTCCCCGCTGAGGCCCGCTTGTCTCGCGTGGCCCGTGCGCCACGGCCTTGCACAGGCCCCTTCGCCACAGCGAGCCGTGGCCCGTGAAGAGAGGTCACGGTGTTCGACCTTTTTAGTGCTCACTGGGTTTAGTCTGCTCATATTCAATTGACAGTTTTTACATCTATGTTCATCAGGGATTTCAGTCTATAATGTTCTTTTTTTGTGTTATATCTGTCTGGTTTTGGTATTGAGGTGATACTGGCCTCAGAGAATGAGTTCAGAAGCATTCCTTACTCTTCAGTTTTTTGGAAGCATTTCAGAAGGATAGGTGTTTTCTCTAAATGTTTTGTAGAATTCACTTGTAAAACTGTTTGGTCTTGGACTTCTGTTTGTGGGGAGCTTTTATTATTATTACTGATTCAGTTTCATTACTGTTAATTGATCAGTCCATATTTTTTATCTCACTGGTTTAGATTGTCATTTCTAGAAATGTGTCCATTTTTCTAGGTGGTTCTTCTTATTGGCATATAATTGTTCATAGCAGCCTCTTATTATCTTTTGTATTTCTGTAGTGTCAGTTGTAACTTCTTTTCTGACTATTGATTTGGGCCCTCTCTTTCTGGATGAACCTTGCTAAAGGTTTGTCAATTTTCTTTTATCTTTTCAAAGAACCAGGTTAATGTCATTGATCTGATCACTGTTCATTCCTATTTGATCTCATTTATTTCCACTCTAATCATTGCGATTCTTCTGCAGACTTTGTTGTTGTTGTTTAGTGGCTCAGTCATCTCCAGCTTTTTGCAGTCCATGGGCGGGCTTCCCTGTCCTTCACCATCTACAGGAGTTTGCCCAGGTGCTGCCCATTGAGTCAGTGGTGCCATCCAAGCGTCCCATCCTCTGTTGCCCTCTTCTCCTGCCTTCAGTCTTTCCCAGCATCAGGGTCTCTTCCAGTGAGTCAGCTCTTGGCATCAGGGGGCCATAGTTGTGGAGCTTCAGCATCAGTCCTTCCAATGAATATTTAGGGTTGATTTCCTTTCGGATGTAGTGGTTTGATCTCCTTGCTGTCTGCTAACTTTGGATTTTGTGCAGTCTTCTTTTTCTAATTCTTTTGGTTAGGGGTAGGTTGTGTGAGGTTTTCTGTGTATCCTGAAGTAGGCTTGTATTGCTACTAATATCCCTCTTAGAACTGCCTTTGCAGCATCCTGAAGGTCTTGGAACGTTGTGTTTTCATCTCATTTGTCTCCAGGTATACTTCGATCTCTTCAGGAATCAGAAGCATATTGTTTAGCCCCTGTGTGTTTGTGGGTTTTGCAGGGGTTTTTTCTTTTTTGTAGTTGATTTCTAGTCTCATAGGCTTGTGGTTGTAATAGATGCTTGATGTGATTTCAGCTTTATTAAATTTACTGTGACTTGTGTTAAGTAGTACAAATCTCTCCTGGAAAATGTGCATTTGAAAAGAATGTGTATTCTGCTTTAGAACGGACTAAGTTCATCTGGTCTGATGTGGCATGTTGATCAGTGTGCCCTTGCTGATGTCCTGTGTGGGTCACTGTCTGTCAACGTAAGTGGGGGTTAAAGTCCCTCCTGTTGTTGTCTGGCTGTTGATTCCTTCCTTTATGTCTTTTATTATTTTCCTTACTCATTTAGGTGTTCCTATGTTGAGTGCATATGTATTTATAATTGTTGTGTCTTCTTGGATTCATCCCTTGATCATTATGTCCTTTCCCTTAAAGTATATTTTTCTGACATAAGTATGGTTTCCTGGCTTTCGTTTGATTTCCATTTGCATCAGATACCTTTCTCATTCCCCTTACTTTCAGTCTGCGTATCTGTAGATCTGAAGTGTGTCTCTTGTCAGCAGTTTATATATACACACGTGGGCCTTGTTTTGTGTCAGAGTGTATTCAGCCACTCTCTCTTTTGACTGGAGCATTTAATCCATTTACATTTAAAGTAGTTATTGCTTTGCATGTACTTGCTGTCATTCTGTTGCTGCTCTGAGATTCTTTTTGTAGTTCTTTTGTCTGTTTCCTCTTTTGTTCTCGTCCCTTATGATCTGATGAGTCTTTAGTGTTATGTTTGGACTCGTTTCCCTGTTTCGTGTGTGCATCTATTGTGGTTTCCTGGTTTGTAATTACCTTGAGGTTTGTTTATAGCAATATATATACATATATATGATTATTTCAAGTTGCTGATTTCTTTAATTTCAAAAAAGATTTTAATAACCCTGCATTTTTCATTCTGTCCCCTCCCAGATTACTGTTTTTGACATCATATTTTATATCCTTTCATTTTGTGTATCCCTTAACTGCTTATTGTGGATATAGTTGATTTTACTAGTTTGTCTTTTAACCTGTCTGCAGTGATCAAACCCAGGTCTTCCAGATTGCAGGTGGATTTTCTGCCAGCTAAGCCACCAGGGAAGCCCCCGAGCTCTGTACTTGGTTGATTTACTGATACTTCCTTTACTGTGTATTTGTCTTTGCCAGCGAGATTTTTCCTTTTGTAGTTCTCATGTTTCTAGTTGTGACCTTTTTCCTTTCTTTTGCTTAGAGAAATCCCTGTAACATTTCTTGTAAAGCTGGTTTTGTGGTGCTGAACTGTTTTAGCTTTTGCTTGTGTATAAAACTTTTGCTTTCTTCATCCAATCCAAATGAGTGCCTCGCTGGGGAGGGTATTCTTGATTGCAGGCCTTTCCTTTTCATCGCTTTAAATATATTGTTCCATTTCCTTCTGTCTTGCGGAGTTTTTGCTGAAAAGCCAGCTGATAGCTGTGGGAGTTCCCTTGTTTATAGTGGCTGCTTTTCTGCTGGTGCTTTTAATGCTCTCTCTGCACCTCTAACTCTTGCCGACTTCGCTCCGAGGAGTCCTGGCGTAGTCCTCTTTGAGTTTTCCTTGACTGGGGCTCCGTTTCCTGGACCTGGATGTGTGTTTCTCTTCCCAGGTTGGGCAACTTTCCAGCTGTTACGTCTTCAAGTGTGTTCTGCGGCCCTTTCTCTCTTTTTCCTTCTGGGCTCCTATAGTGTGAATGTTAGTGCATTTGATGTTGTCTTAGAGGTCTCTTAAACCCGTCCTCCTTTATTCATCTATACTTTCTCCTTGTTCTGTTCAGTGTAGTGATCTCCACTCTGTCTTTTCCCTCACGGGTCTGTTCCGCTGTATCAGTTGGTCAGCTCTTGATTCCTTCTAGTGCATTTCCGTTTTAATTGTAGTTTTCATCTCTGGTTGTTCTTTGTATTTTCTGACTCTTTGTTAAAACCTGCTCATTCTTTTTCGAGTTCTTTGATCATCTTTACAGTTAGTGCCTTGATCTTTTTCTCAGGTGGATTGCCTGTTTCTGCTTCACCTAGTTGTTTTTGGAGTTTTATCTTGTTCCTTCATTTAGAACATGTTCTATTGCCTCACTTTGCCTAACTTGCTGTTTTTATTTCTGCATATCTAGCAGGTTGGTTCTGTTTTCCCAATCTTGGAGAAGTGGCCTTTCATAGGAAGTGCCTGTGCATGCCAGCAGTACACTCCACTGTGATCAGCAGAGCTCCATGCTCTAGGGGTGCCCCCTGTGTGGGCTGTGGGGGACCCTGGGGCTGCTGCTGGCTCACTGGTGAAGGAGTTAGTGCAGGAAATCCTGGGGCTGGTGCCGGCCTGCAGGTGGTGGACTGAATCAGCCCATGACAGGTGGTGGACTGGGCCAGCCTGCAGATGGGTGGACCAGGTCAGCCCATGGCAGGCAGTGGCCTACGGCTGTCCAGGGGCTGATGTGCACCCACTGGTGTGTGAGGCTGGTCTCGTGGCTAGTGCAGGCTGCTCGTGGACAGGGCCGGGCTCCAGGCGTGTCTGGGTCTGGAGTCTGCCCACTGGTAGGTGGACCTGGGCCCCAGGGTCCGCGGGGGCAGGTCCCTGCGTCCCCATCCAGTGCCTGCGTGTTGGTGTGTGGGGCTGGTTGTGCAGGGGCCGCCGTGGGCTCGAGGGCTGATCAGACAGCCTGTCTGCTGGGGAGGGGTGTGGTGTGTCCCCACCTGGCTGGTGGCTGGACCTGAGGCCTCCCGTCCTGTGTGTGTTGCTGGGGGGCCAGGTGCTGAAGGCAGTGGGCCAGAGGGAGGGTCCCACCGTGGTGCTAACCTAACCTCTGTGGCTAGTCACTCTGCCGCGGGTGGGCCGCCCCTCCTGCCATCTTGCGGTGGCCCCTTCTCTCTCCTTAGCGGTGGCAGACCCTTGCTGGCCACCCCCGTTACAGTGCTCATCCTGGTGAGCCCTGGGGGGCTCTGCTCAGGGTCTGCGTGCTCCACCGCCCCTGCCGGCCCCTCTCGTCAGCTCTCTGCATGTCTGTGGGTGTGGTTTGGGGTTTGGGGGTTGTCCTAGCCTGACTGACTCTTCCCTGTGTTGAGCCTGGCTCTTTCTGTGCACAAACTCTGGTCTTCTGGGATCTGCAGGGGAGGCTCAGCTGGTGCCCACGTGCTCTTTGAGGTCGGGAGGGCCCCGAGGAGCCGTGAGTGCATGGGTGTGGAAGTGGCAAGGGGTGTTCGTGGAGCTCAAGCAGGCGACGCTGGAGGGCTGTATTTGCGGTGCGCCTGGGCCCAGGCTTGGGGCCTCTGCACACCCGGGTGTTTGTGTTCAGCGTATATTAGCTGCAGACGGCCTCACACCTGTTGGGAGCTGTTTGGAACTAGGTACCATTAGAGGATACTTTGAGGAGCTTCCCTGCTCATTCACGGCGAGGTGTCTGGTTAGGGTGCAGCCTCTCTGACCGCGTGGTGTCTTCCTAGGGCGTAACCCTCACGGACCTTCAGGAAGCGGAAAGGACGTTCAGCCGGTCGAGAGTAGAGCGTCAGGCTCAGGAGCAGCCCAGCCTGAAGCCCGGGGTTCCCGCAGCGCTCGAGGGTGGTCCCCGGAAGCTCGAGCCCCTGGCGGCCCCTGCCCAGGACGCCAGGGAGAGCCATCAGCCCTGGGTCCAGAGCCTGGAGGGAGAGGTGAGCACCCGAGGGGGCGGCCAGCGGGGCTCTTGCTCACGGGGAGTCAGTGCTTGCTGCTTTGCAGTGGACCCCTCCCAGGAAGCCTGTTTACATCCATCTGTGGTTGGCGGGCCTGTGTAACTGAAAGAACTCAGAGGACATTAGTCCTCAGGTGGCCCGTTGTGTCCTCTGAGGTGTAACTGATGTGCTTCCCAGTTTTTTGAGGCATACTGGACAGGCTAGGCTGCAGCACGCCTCGATGTGCTTGTGTTCTGTGAAACGATCACCACCGTAAGCTTGGTTAACGAATGTGAACGTCTTTCAGCTCTGAAAAGAGAGGTCTCGATATAATAAAATGTAGGTAGAAATATAAGCATTTATTACTCTTTATGCCCGGCCCTGCTTCAGCTGTGTCACATGTATGAAACTGTTCAGTCCTCGGCACAGCCCTCTGAGGTAAGTACCAGTCCTTCTCACACCGAGGCTGTGGGTGCACCCCAGCACCCTGCTGGGCATCTCAGGAGAGCCAGAGGGGTTCCCTGGCAGCCCAGTAGGTAGGAGGCTGCGCTGTCCCTGGGGGGCCCGGCCCCAGCCCTGGCCGGGAGCTGCGATCCCACAGCCCATAGCCGCATGGTGCGGCCACACACCAGTGAAGGATTTGGAAGAAGAGGTGGCGCGGGCACTGAGCCGTGGCCCACCCCCTCCCTGCGCTGCGGGTGGATGTCCTGCCGTGCGTGTCAGCCCTCTAGTGCAAGAGCAGTCAGAGGTGTGGGATCCTGTTCAGGGTGAGCATAGCTCCTGGTTCACTGAAGATTGTTCCAGCGACGCCTTTTATCTCAGGGTGATTGTCAATACCATTCCTTTTCATGCCCAGAAATGCCCCTGTTGGGATGATAAATTTTATGTTGATCATGGTTGCAGGAAAAGAAGTCTTCCTGCTCTTTCTTTAGGTAACCAAGGTCGTATTGTTTATCCCGTTGTTTTATCAGCCACTGTTTTTTGAGCACTTACTACATACAGGGTTCAGTTCCCAGCACATGGCACACAGGATCTCATCCAGGCCTCTCAGGCCTCTCTGAGGAAGAGCTTGTTTTCCCTGTTTTATGAAGGAGAAGTGGAGACTCAGAACTCGAGTCACCTACTTAGGTCATGCCACTCATTTGTGCCGAAGCTAGAATTTGAGCCACGTCTTGTCAGACTCCCAAACTGACTGTATCTTATTACTTCTGTCTCTATAACTTATAAACAAAGAATCAGACAATCTCTGCATGTGGTGAGAATTTCTTTATCTCTGCATCTTCAACAAACCACTTCAACAAATAAATGTTAAGGTTTATTGTGAAGCTCTATCCTATCTCTCAAGGAAAAAAAGTTCAAAGGGGAAAAGCGGAATTATTATTTTTTACTTTTGTTTTGGGGGTGAGGTGCACATGCGGGATCTTAGTTCTCCAACCAGAGATCACACCCGCACCCCTTGCAGTGGAAGTGCAGTCTTAATTCAGGACCACCAGGGAAGTCCCAGAAAGTGAGAGTTTTTTAAAGTGTCAGTAAGCCTGGTTATGTCAAGTTGATAGAAGGCTCAGAAATTGGCAGAAGGTCCAGATGTGATCTGTTTTTAGATGACTCTTACCTTGTTTTTTTCCTATTCCTGAGCTTATTTTCCCATATGCCCTGCCTTTCAGAGCCCCACCTTCCGAGGGCCAGCATCCTTCCTGTTTGCCTTGTAGAAGCACAGTGGTGGTGTTAGCGAGTCTCTGCTTCCCGGTGCCCTTCGATCAGTTTAGGGGGAACTTTTCTGGGCTGCTGTCAGCCTGGCAGTGTTGTCAGCGTAGGAGGAGTTCGGACCTGTTTCCTTTCTGGCTGGTTAACTGCTTATAAGCCTCTTGATATAGAAAAGCCCATTTTTAATAAACATGCTGTCCCTACGCTCTCGTTGAACTTGACCTCTGACGTCTCACCCTGTGGGTTGTTCTAGCCAGTGTACCCTCCCTTGCGGTGTCCAGCTCAGCCCGACCAGCCCACAGCGCCAGCGCCCTCTCCCACCCCGAGACCCTCTCTCTACGCCAGCTCCCACCTGCTCCGGACGGGTGGGTCCTCCGCCCCCGACTCGCAGAGCTCAGAGCCCCCCACAGGCACTGACGGGCCGCGGCACATGGACACAAACGGTAGGTCGGGCTTTGGAAAGTGCAGGCCCTCCAGTGCGCGTGCCCCGGGCCCCTAAGACCCGTGCCTTCTCTCCCTGAGCAGAGGGCGAAGCAGCAGAGCCAGGCGACCAGCCCTCCGGCCGGCTGTCCATCCGCGAGAGGCGGCGGCCCCGGGAGCGGCGGCGGGGCACGGGCATCAACTTCTGGACGAAGGACGTAAGTGGCCCATGTGTGCTGCGCACCGTGTGTTCCGCCCGCCGTCCTGTGTGGATGCAAGAGTCCCACCTGGCGCCGCGAGCCCTGCGTGTCAGGACGCGTCACAAGAAAGACAGACTGCAGGGGTGCAGGCTCGTCTGGGAGGCTCTGGCTTGGCACCCAGGGCAGTGCCAAGCACGCGGGCAGGGGGCGAGGGCGGGGCGAGTGAAGACAGACGGATAGAGCAGGGGCACAAGCGTGCGATGGAGCCGCTGGGGCCCCGAGGGCGCGCGGGGAGTCAGCACCCCGGCGTCTCCGAGCGCGCGAGGTTGGCCGAGGATCCCAGGGCTCTGAGTGTCGTCTGACTCAGGTTTACTCTTCCGCAGGAGAAAAAAGAGCAGGTGCGGTAACACTGCTTGACTCTGAGTGAGGACAGGGCTCCATACGTCTTCTCCCCGCTGGCCTCTGCCTGCTGGCTCAGCCCGCCCCTGGCATTTACAACCCGAGGGGCCGGGGTCAGGTCCCCAGTCACTGTGACCTGTTTGGAACTAGGTGGTCGGTTCAGTGAGGCGGGAAGAGGGGCGGCGGTGGTCGCTGTCAGAAGTGGTGGGTGTGAGCGTCCAGTCGCTATGGGAACGGACGGATCCACTGGCGGCAGAGCCTGAGGGAGTTCGGGTTCTCCTCTTCCCACCCGCCCGGGCATTCTGCTCGGGCTGCAGGGGGCACCCCGAGGCACTGCTGAGGCCGCAGCGACGGCCCCCTTGGCCGCCAGCCCTCCCTGCCCAGGCGCATGCTGACGGGGCTCTCTAGTGCCGCCAGGGCTGCCTGCGACCGTGACCACTTGTTTTTCTTCCTCCTGCCTTTCCAGGAAGATGAAACGGAAGTCCCGGAAGAGGTGAAGAAAGCGTGGGTAAGTGACCCGCGGTGAGGCTGCCCTGCTGGGCCGCCCTGCCTGCGTGTGCCCACCTAACAGAGGAGCAGGCTGCGTGCAGGCTTGGGTCTGGGGGTCCGGGGACGCTGCCCTGAGGACATGCCGGCTGCTCGCCCGCATCCCGTTTCCTTAAGTGGTGCGGCGGTGCCCATGTTCCTCTCGAGGTTTCCTGTGCCTCTGGCCAGGCTCTAACTCAGTTTCCGGCTGTCTCCTCTCTCTTGTGCTGTTGGAGTGTATAAAGTCCTTTAAAATCTTGGGAAGAAAAGGGCAGTAATGCTGTTTCTCACGGATCAGCACCCGCTGCATGCTGGCAGAGAGGAGCCCAGGAGTGCGGGGTGGAGACCATCGGAAATCACTTGCACTTGACTCTGAAGCGAGGTTTAGCTCCTGCCGTGTGCAGCTCACAGTCCTGCGGGCCTGGTGCGCGCTCCTGCCTGAGGACAGCTCTCCGGCAGTCCCGGCCCGCGTGCGACGGGCTCACGAGCAGCACTGTGCATCTGTCCTCTCTCTTCCTCTGGGCTTTTAGTCTGTTTTCTTGGCCATGCTGCGTGGCTCCCGGGGTTAGGGTTGGGGGGTCTTCGCTGCCCAACCAGGGGTGGGACCCAGGCCACCACAGTGATACACCGAGTCCTGACCGCTGGACTGCGGGGATGTCCTCCTGCCGTTTCGCCAGGTGGAAGGGATTTGTTGGGCTCTGACCAAATGAATTGAAAGAATATGTGCATTTCTATTGGAAACTGTAAATAGATGGTCTTTTTTCTACTCTAAGTTATGTGACAGTATGTTATCTGAATATATATAATAACTCATCCTGAAACTCAATAGCTAGTTCATTTTTAGAGAGGAAATGGGAATGCTCTGTCACTGACACGCCCGGATGGCAATCGAGACCCAGAACAGTCAGGAGTGGCCTCCAGAGGCGGTGGCGTCGGGACCACTGAGGTGCGTGCAGCCCCTCATGGGGCAGGGCTGTGGCTGCCCCACGGGGAGAGGGCTGCGGGGCCAGTGTGGGCACAGGTGCCGGAGGAGGCCCCCTGGGGCAAGGTGTGTGTGCATGACCGCGACCTCGCTCCTAGGGGCTGGCAGGGCTTCGGGAGACAGTGAATTGTGAGTCACATACCTAATGAGAGAGCCCGAGTGTGACCGCAGAGCTCAGACATGGCCATTGAGTATGGAGGGGTGTCAAGGCCGGGCAACCCCACAAAAGAGCCCCAGCGAGGAGGCCCAGGCGGCGTCCCTGCGGGGGTGCCGCAGTCTCCACACTTCTGAGCTCCTTGCTGCCGGGGCACCTGGCAGGGATGCCCAGTGTGGTCTTAGGAGGTCAGGGTGTGCAGTGAGCCCACGCCCCGGGAACAGGGCGTCAGTGTCTCCGGCCCCGGGGCGGCCATGCCCCGGTGCCAGCCTGGCCCTGGTGGGGTCCACACCGGCCCCGGAGCAGCAAGCCCAGTCCCCGCGGACCCTGGGAGTCCATCCGAGGCCATCAGGGAGTCAGGCCCGCCCTCGTCCCCGACCTGTTCAGACACTGCTGGAGCCGGGCGGCGTTCTTTCCTGGTTCGGGGGCGATAAGACTGTATCTGGAGTTGATGTCGTGACAGCATCCTTCTCCATCTTAGAGGACACATCCTTCGGAGGGCGCAGTCTAGGTTTGCGTTCACTCGTCTCCTGACTCTGACGTGTGTCTTTTAAATCAGGATGTACTTAGCAGTTGGTGCGTGCACAGACCTGAGGTGCTCTGAGTTCTGATAGTGGTCATCAGGGGCGTGACCCGCGCACAGCTCAGATCCCTTCTCTCCTGGAAAGCGCCCCCCCCATCCCGAGAGGCTGCCGCCACGGGTCCGTGCCGCCTGTCCTTGAACTTGGGTCCGGGAGTCCCTCAGAGACAACTCACTTTAAGGCTGGGACAGAGCCTTCTTGGGTACGACCTCCAGCCTGGGTCCCCTGCCAGGTGGGAGCTGGAATGATCCCGAATGTGTGTGGCTGTCTCTCCTCTCAGAGATGAGAGCCTGGTCAGACGCTTTTGTTGTTTAATCCTCATCTGTGTCGATGTCATGGGCGTCGGCTTCCTGTCATGTAGCCCCGCTGGAGAAGTGGTGCTGACGTGCGTGTCCGCGCATGATTTACGGCTGGGACGGCCCTGGGTGCTCAGTTCTGGGTGAGAGGAGAGGCCACGTGCGCGTCCGTGTGGTGACACAGGGAATGCATCCAGGCCCCATGTGGTGCACCAGGCAAGCCCCGGCTGTCCTGGAAAAGCCGCGAGGCAATGAGACTGCAGGTGACGCAGGGTTCGTGTCTCAGCAGCCCCTTGGCGCCGTGCTGGGAGCAGGTCTGCACAGCTGTCCACAGAAGGTGGGCGCCCTCCCAGAAGTCCTCGCACGTCTTCATATTGCGAAGTAAGGCAGAGCCGAGTCTGGGTTTGACGCGAGGGAGGCGGCTGCTCCCGTCTGAAGTGCTGCCTGCCCCCGGCCCTGGGACGGCTGTGTGCTCGGGGCCCTGCAGGCTCTGCACCTCCTCTTGCCTGCGCCTTCGGCCTGCCTTCGTCTTGTTTACACTGTCTGGTCTCCCTGCTCTTGTTGTTTCTCGGTCCTCTTCTGGAGCAGACCGTTCCCTGGGCTCGTTCTGACTGGTGGTTGAATCCATCACTAGAGGGCACACGTGTCTCAGAGCAGTGGTGAGCAAGCAGAGCCGTGCCTGAGGCCAGGTGGGAGGTGGGTGACTTGGCAGGGAGCCCACATCTGTGTGGGGAAGCTGCCCGCCCCCTAGACGTGGGCACCTTAGAGCTGGGAGGGAGTTGGAGAAAGCCTGGGTGAGGGGCCTCGCCTCACGGTGGGGAGCTCTCAGGCCTGGGCCGGGGGAGCATCTGGGGAGTGAGTGCTCTCCAGGTGGCCCCCAGCCCGCTTCAGGGGCCTCTGTGGCTGTGCTGGGGCCAACCTCCCACCCCCTGTGGTTCCCCATCCCTCTTTAGGGACGCAGATGAGCAGTGGGGTGTGGAGGGCTTCCAGGCTCGGAAGCTTTGCCCTGTGGAGGGGGGCCTGCCGTCGCCCAGCTCGCACCTCTCATACCAGCCCAGAGGCTCTCCTGACCCCACAGTCTTCGGGTTTTTCTGGAGGCTTCATCAAGTGTGTAGTTTGTTATTAACTCAGTCTCCACCCCCCTTTACCTTCCCTCAGAGGATGGAGGGTGAGTCTAGATGTTCCTAGCTGTTTTTTTTGTTAAAGTATATTAATATACAGTATTGTGTGAGCTTCAGCTGTGCAGTAGTGATACATGGTTTTTGAAGGTTATGCTCCATTTGTAGTTCTTGCAGAACATTGGCCGTGCTCCGAGTGTTACACAGTGTCCTCATGGCTTCCTGCCCTGTTGGAGTTGTGCCTCTCACCCCTTTGTCAGCTTCTTTTGTTCTTTCGTTTTTACTGGGCAGGTTCCGTGTTTGAGTTGAGTTGCTGGTGGCGTTGCACCCCCTCGCATGAAGGAAGGTTCCCTCGAAGGGCGACTTGGAGGCCACGTGAGAGTCTGATCTGTGTCCAGGGGAGTGCTTCCCTGCTGCCCTGACCTGGGTGCGTGTCTGTCTGCCAGGACGTGGCATTCCCGTCCTCCACTCAGGAAGGGGCTTCTCCCCTGCATCCCTGTTGCTTTCCAGCAAATCACGTGCCATCATCCGAACAAACCATGACACTTGACCTTCGAAGTCGGCAGCGTAGCGTGCCGTCCAGAGCGGACCTGGACCACTCAGGCAGTCTGAAGACGCCTCCTCCTGGCGAGGCCTGCCGAGGAGACGTGGTTAAGAAGTGCTGGTTGGAGGGTGTTGAGATCCCTGCTGGAGACAGCTGGTGAGCTCGTCCAGGGACACCTTGGTCCAGTGCTCCAGAAGGTGTAAGCAATTAAGCCTAAGACTTTCAAACTGAATCAGAGAGACACCCAAAGTGAGGTTTTTCCAGCAAAGCTTGGTTTTGAACTAAGCTGTAACAGAAAATGAAACTTGCTTTGGGAGCCACTTGGCCATGGAATGTCTCTTATACCTGAAGCCACTGGATGCGCCGCCCCTCCTGTCCCTTGTCTTCTGTAGCCCCTCCTCCACTCATGGAACAAGCACGTGAGGTGCCTGCTGTGGGCAGGCGGGGGCCAGGGTCACCTTGTCTCCAGTTCTCAGCTGGTGTGGGGGCGTCCCCGTGGGAAAGCCCTGTGGTCGTGCAGAGCTGGCTCTTGGGGCTCCCCTGACGGCTTCTGAGGAGACGCAGTCTCTTTCCGGACTCTATAGGTCTTTGACAGCCAGGAATGTCATGGACAAGGAAGCCTGGCGCGCTGCAGTCCACGTGGTTGCACAGAGTTGGACACAACTTAGTAACTGAACAGCAAGTGTCATTCTAGCCATCAGAGGGCTAAGTCAGAGTTTCATACAGAAGAGCGCCCAGAAATAAGCTTTCCAAAGAAAGCCCCTCCTTAAGGGAAACGGAGAATACTCAAAGACGTCGTAACGCTGAGCGAAGTCGGGCCAGGCAGCGGGAGCCAGAGCTGAGCCAGCTTCTGAGACTGCCTGCAGACAGCCAGCTCCTCAGCAGAGTTCCTCTTGTCTGACAGTCTTACAGTTGTCATAGAATGTCGGCCACACCCCGCGTGGTATGCAGTGGTCCTTATGGCTTTGTGAGTTGGAGCTTCGGTCAGTCTAAAAGGACAGTCACAGGCTTGGGATTTTAGAACCAAAGGAAGCTTTAAACTGCTCGTTTTCCTTATTTATTGGCCTCACTGCACGGCTTGTAGGATCTTAGTTCCCTGGCCAGGGGTTGGAGCAGGTCCCAGCAGTGAAAGCGCTGAGTCCGAACCCCTGGAGCTCCGGGGTTCAGCAAGCCCCAGGGGGAGCACACACAGCCGTGTCCGGGCTCTATACCTGAGTGTGCGCCCAGCGTGTGTCGTGGCTCACTGTCACGGCGGGAGGCGCGCAGGCCTGGCTCAGCTGCCCAGCCGCTCTGCAGGGGACGCTTCAT